AAACTAATGAAGACTTTCTTTTTATCGGGAAGCATCTATCAATGTATATAAATGTACAGTGTGTATATATTCCTCTGTACATACAGTGTATGTGCATGTATGAGCTCTTGTTCCCACATACAAAATCCCCCACAGATCCTAGTAGCATGGAAAGTTTATCCCAGTTTGTTAACAGGAACTTTCTACGAGCAAAAACAACAGGCATCAAAAACATTAATTATAATTATTTCCATTGCTTATCCTTTGCTCCTCCACAGTCTCCAGATTTAAATTAATAAAAGGCACAAAAACTTTGTACTTTCCAAGTACATTATGCAAGTTGACAATATTCCTGTTTTTTCTTTTCACACACTGTAATAGAGGTCTCAGCAAAGATACATTTTAAATGATGCCTACCAGCACTTCAAAGCCATCTCTTGCACGATAGACCTAAGTTTAACTTAATCAATGTTTGATGTAATGAAAATCTCTTGACAGAAGTTGATATGCTTAGAAATAAGTCTCTGATGCTTCATTCTATATTCACAGAAAGGTGAAATTTGTGGTGATTATCCACACCTCTCAAATGTGTCTCATTGGATTAGCAGCTATAATTAGCATTCACATTTATGAAAGTCAGCTTAATAATATTACTTTTCTTACCACAGGTTATATTCTTATTCCTAATAATATTTGGTTCCGTAAGCAAAAACAAAGAGAATACTATTGTTGTACAGAATAGCATTTACTGTATTTAATTTATCCCTGTTTCAAAAAAACAAGATTTTTTATCTGTCTGAAAGCTTTTGCTGATCTAAATTTACTGTATATATAAACACAAATTTTTCTCAACACCACCCCTAAAATGTTGAGGAAACAAGTTATGCCAAAGAGACACAAGGAGGGAGAGTCATGGTAAATTTCCATTTCCAAGTATGGAAATGTGTACTTCATGATATTTTAACTAACAAAAGAAGCTCCACATATGATAAACTTTAGTGACTATTGAAGAACATAGGTAAAATGTCTACGCAACACATTCAAGAAACATTCAGTGACAACATTAGATCACTATAGTGTGGATTCAGTGTATCTAGTAAAAATACTTTGAAGGCATAGATCTATGATTTTGCTGGTTTATGTATGCAAATGCTAATTTGTTTTTTGCTTGGTTTGCTTTAGTTTTAGACCCTGGAAGTCTGTTGCTTACCTGAAAATGTTTAATAAATTTCCCAACAGACAGACAATGCTGTCTTAAAACCATTCTATTGAGAAGGTCATGGATGGAGTAGGAGCTCCGTTTTGTGTTGCAATGTTACCTTAAAGCTTCACAGTCTCTACTCATTATTTTTATGTATTACACTAAATGAAGTCAAGGCTTGGTCTGGGACACTGTCACTTGACAGCATGAGTTGCTAGCATGAGGATGGCACAATTTAGGCCTGAAACAATTCATGGCACTAAGTGCCACGTCCAGTCTTTCCTGAAATACCTCTAGGGATGGTGACTCCATGACCTCCCTGGGCAGCCCATTCCAATGTCTGATAACCATTTCTGTGAAGAAATTCTTCCTATGTCCAACCTAAACCTCTCATGGCACAGCTTAAGACTGCATCCTCTTGTCTGATGACTAGTTGGCTAGGAGAACAGTTTGATCCCCACCTGACTACAATCTCCTTTCTGGTAGTTGTAGAGAGTGCTAAGGTCACCCTTGAGTTGCTTCTTCTCCAGGTTAAACAACCCCAGCTCCCCCCTCAAGGGCTGCTCATAGGACATGTATCCCAGACCCTTTGCCGGCTTCGTTGCCTTTCTCTGCACATGGTCCAGCACCTCAATATCCTTCCTGAATTGAGGGACCCAGAACTGAACACAGTTCTACCACTATGTGTCATCTCACCAGTGCCAAGTACAGGGGAAGAATCACCTCCCTAGTCCTGCTGACCACGCTGTTCCTGATACAGGCCAGGATGCCATTGGCCTTCTTGGCCACCTGTGCAAACTGCTGGTTCATGTTCAGCTGATGTCTTATCAGCACCCCCAGGTCCTTCTCTTCTGGGCCCGCTTTGCAACCCCTCTTTCCCCAGGCTGTAGTGCTGCATGGGATTATTGTGGCCAAAGTGTAGGATCCGCCACTTAGTCTTGTTGAAGCTCATGCTGTTGGTCTTGGCCCATCCAGTCAGCCTGTCCAGGGCCTTCCTACCCTCCAGCAGATCAGCACTGACCCAACTTGGTGTTGTCAGTAAATTTGTTAATGGTAGACTCAAAACGTAGGGAAGTCTGAATAGGTCATCTGCATCTAAGTAGTTTTAGGAGAAGGGAGGAGAATTTCACTGTGTGTAGCTGAACTGTGCCATTCCTGCTGCAATCACAACCAGATTCTGTTTATTTAGTCCCAAATGCATAAGCAGGGAATCAGGAGGGGATGCTGAAGGCAGTCAAAGGCTACCTTTATACTCCATTCATAATGCATTGGTTTTGTAGTGTAATTTTGTATCCACAATCTATACTGGTAGACTGTATTAAATATTTTTTCACTTTACTTTGTACAAAGTCCAATCTAGGACAATAATTTGTATATTTTGAAGTGTGGTCTTACAGAACTATACTAAAAATATATCATATAATGCAACCAGTATAATACTTGGTGTTGTCCATCATTGCCTTATTCTGATGTTTCCTAGTCATTTTGTAGTTAACTAACACAAATAATATTTCTTTATTGTTTCTCTTCAGTCCTGAAGTATTTCAGTCAGTCTATACTATTGGTGATTTTCATTCCATTATTTTGTTTGTTTCACAGAATATTCTGAGTTGGAAGGGGTCCACAAAGATCATCAAGTCCAACTCTTAAGTGAATGGCCCATATGGGGATCAAATACATGACCTTGTCGTTATTAGTGCCATGCTTTAATCAACTGAGCTAATCTACTGTTATTCATATATCAGAAACATCCAGTTACTCCTGTGAGATATTCCAGTCCTTCTCTGTACTCAGTAAATCTCATCAGTATAGTCCTGGTCTTTGTGCCAAGGTCATTTAATCAAAAATGTTTAATGTCTTCAGTCCTAAGAATGATTGCTGGGAAAGTTGACCAAACAATTCCCTATGGGCAAAGGTTTGCACACATACTAGTGGTCTTGATGTGTAATCTACTTGTTCAGACAGATCAGACAAAATTAAGAAAACTGATATGTACTCATATTTCCAATAAGCCTCTCATAATGGATTTTTAACTCTTACTATAGAATGCAAATTTGAGGCTATAGTAAAGCTGTAGTTGCAAGAATATTTTTCAGCATCTTAACTTCATTCTGTCACAGAGAGAAAACACAGAAAATGCTGGGGGCTGTATGTACACATTTCTACATCTGTTTTTCAAGTGTAATGGAGAATGAGATCAGACACATAGCACTTAGTTGCACAAATATGTTGTGCTTTTGCTAAGTTTTAAAAGGATTGATACTAGCTACACTAATTTCAATGTGATAATAATTTATCGTCTTTTCCAGGGTTCCCATCAAACAGGTTTGTATTCAAAGGTACACACTGCCAGTGCTTTATAAACAAAGAAAGCAAAAGACAGGAGAAAGAGAAGAGAGAAAAAAGAAAAGCCAGAAAAAAAACAGAGTGAGAGGGCCCAATGCATGTCCTTTATAGTTAACCTGATGCACAACGCTTGAGTAAATTAAACTTTTCGTGCCTTTTGTTCACACGTACACAGCCAGCCCTTCTCCCAGAAGTGAATTGAGGGATGAGAGGGATTGAGTCTCAAGGTGGAACTGGATGTTGGCTCAGAACAGCACTGCTCCACCTCCGCAGGACCCTTGCCTCTGATCACCTTTCCTGTAACAATACTCAGAATATTTGAGACAAAACATGCTTAGGTCTGGTCATCTGCAGTAAGTTATTGCATAATTATAAGGGTGCATGAAATAAATAATAATTGACAGAAAACAAGCTGTTTGTTTAATTGTTTAAAATAATTCAGATTGACCTTTTTTGTCATATAAACACCAGGGGATTTTTCACTTTCCTTAGGAGTCTTTGCAGGATTTTGATGTACATGCCATTTGTTTCAGTGGACTTCCTGCTATTCATCTTTTCTTATTATACCCTGTATTATTCTGTTTGCAAGCCGATATCACTACATTGCACTGTTTATCACCTAGAAAAGTTATTAATCTGTGTTTAATGAAAGTTGCCGTATAAGGGCATATCTCCAATACATAAGCTGTATAAAACTCTGTACCAAAAAAGCAGTCTTGAAAGAGTAAAGCTTTAAGTAACATTTAAGAAATAACACTTAGGACAGTGTTTATCACTTTAGCTCAAACTCTAAAAATGCCTGTACTTTGTGAACAAAAAAGATTTATGGAGTGCTTAATCACACTGAGTTGGGAAATACTTCTCTCTCACTTCTCTGTAAGGCATTTCTGGACCCCCTGGAACACCAGTGTTCACCAAGGTGCATTTAAATTGCGCATTAGTTTCCATATGGAAAAGCTCAGCTCTTACAATCTCTGTGAACAGCTTGTGGTACTCATCTCATTAGAAAAAAAAACTCCAAGATGGCAGAGTTGTGAAAACACAAGTATTTCAATACCAGGCATAGGGGATTAGTCTCAGATTATAGTTTTAGGCAGAGATGAAGTGGAATCTGAATTTCAGTGCATGATTTGTGCTATCACTTGTTTAATTTTAATGTCTTCTTAGTATGTAACTGTTGCTTAATATAATACACTGAGATAATTAGATGACCATGTCATATAACTGTTTGTTTTTGCACTGTATATGTTCAATTAATTAAAATAATTGAGCTGCTGGAAACATATTCAGTATATACTGACACTAATCTCAGTACAGTAGAAATATGATAAAGCAATCCTTGTGTAAATCTGTCTGGTATTTTTCATATCCAGAATGCAAAATCTCTTGTTTTCTACACTTCTGCGGTGTCTAGCTTATTAATTTGCTTTTTTTTTTTTCTCTGTTCAAGAATACCTTCATAATGCTTTTTTTCCCTGTCAGATGTTATTTATTTCATATACCCTGGTAAGTATGCAATAACTTATGGGCATGGCAAATGGTACTAGCTGTCCCTTATAATTATTTCTAGATACCTGTATAGTAGTGATGCCTATATCATTTCACATTCTCCTGGTACTGTTTTAGGAGTCGAAGAAGTCATACTCTTGCCAGACACTGTTGGCTATTGAAGGCACTTGTCCTGCATGACTTCAAAGGTTCATTGAACTTGGAAATCAGTGAACTCCTAAACCAGAGCATGATAAGAATATGTATAGGTGGGCATTTTTTCATTTTTATGTACAGCTTATTCATTCAAGTCTTTGAAGACATTTTTCCTATTAAAATATACAATGACATTTACAGGAAGCATGAATTGAATGTCCTTTTTTTTTTTTTCCTTGTACTGTTGCTTTCTGATACAGAACAAGTTCTGGTGAAATTGACTTTCCATCAACTTAATAACTATTAATGTATTGGATGCAGTGAAGCATCACCCTACATGATCCATCTTTAAAGGTAAAGTTGTTTTGCAGGAAGGTCAAAATTTATTTATTCTTCATTCATTCTTTCATCTTTGGAAAGGAATTGTATAAACTTTGAGCACATTCATAAATTAATGCAAAAAAATTTGTGGGTTCTCTACTTAAAAGTTTAAACTTGTAAAATTCATAAAGCTGCCAGCAACATAGTGAGGCAATTTTTTAAAATTTTCTCCAGTGACTGATACTTTTAACTATTTTTTCAACATGGAATGTTTCAATTCCATTAAATGAGTCTACAAAGACATCTAATGATGTGCTTATTTAATTATATTCATTAACAATTATATTTAGTGTCTGTGGATTTTCTGAAAAGTAGAAGTGGTCTGAAATCTAACTTGGATCAACATTATCCAGTTGGCAATATAATAATACTTTCAAGACAGATGCAATTATAAATTCTCAACATTTTGGTACTGTTTCAGAAGCAAAATCTTTATTAGGTCTTCAAACTGATTGCAAGCCAAATGCATTCCAGGTTCCAAAAGACAAAGTTCATCACACTTTGCACTCTCTCTATGTCTGATAAAGTCTAAGTGATAAAAGAAGTAGGACTATGACAGGAGCCATTTGTGATATGTTTTGTAATTTAATTTTGTAAGTACCTTCATTAATCCATATCAGAATTAATCAAAATTAAATTAATCCAGAGAGAGAGAAACGAACTTCAAATTGACATGTAACAGCAGTGTTGCCTTTGGCTAGCTGCCTTTAAATATGATTTCCTGCAAACTTCTATTAAAAATGACCATTATGGTTTAAATTTCTTGTTTTGAATTAGTTGCGGAGAATCAGTGTTCCAAGATAAATGCAAACATTTGTAAAATGGTTTGAGAAGGATGAAAAATCTGACTTTCCCTTGCTGGGATGAATTAAGCTATTTGTATTCATTTACTGGGTTTGGGCAAAGAATTATAAATTGTCTTCTTTCCACAGAAAACACTGCAATATTCCTTTCTATTTTCTGAAGAATGAATACAGTAATCCCACTTCTGTGGCTTCAAACCCATCTCAGTTTTCAAGTGCAGCTCAGTTTATCGTAAAATGCTTGTTAATGGGCAACTGATATTGCTTAGTGGATGAGAAGATTATTGAAAAGTGTGTTACAAGAGGAAACAAAGTCTTCAAATAAAACTTGCTCTCTTGCTATAGAATTCTATAAGATAAAACATTTTTTCTTAACTTTCAGTACATTTGAGAATAGTTAAGAACCCTTAAGAGATTTCTTTAACTTCTTATACTATAGAGTAGTTAGTATTTAAGACTTTTCCTTAATAAGTAGTTTTATTTAAAGTCATGTGTTTTAAACAAGTAGGACCTTCCCACATTTTAGAGATGCACTACCACCAGATGAACACCACCACAGGTAGTTCAGAGGAATAACCATCAGCAATTCTCTTAGAAAGAATCATTTACTCTATATCTGGGTCTCACATCTCTATCTTTCAATGATATGTGCCTACTCTGTACCAAGGTCAAACAGCTAGATTCTTTCACTCCCACATGCAAACTAGAAGGGTGCAGCAGCTGCAGAGTAGCCCGTGCCTTTGGAAGTTCTTAGAATAATATTAACAATATCCAACACAGAACAGTGAGCTGCCAAAAGGAGTTTATTAGAAATTGTGAGGACAGTGACAGAAGTGTTTGCAGCTCATCCCTAGGGACCTGAGTCAGCAGATCATATATAAACCTTATTACTTGCCTTAGTGTAAGCATTTGAGCACTTTCAGACAGAAGAGTAGTATTTTATTTTATAACAGTCTCAAAAGAGTAGGTGGGGCAAAAAGTTCTGCAAGCACCCTTATTTGCACATCAGCTGCTGGAGGTGTGATACCAAAAGTCCAAAAGCTGCCTCTTCTACTTCTCAGGAGATCATGCTAGCTAACCTCACTCTTTTGCCCTTTCTATTCTGTCTTCATTAGTTTTAACTAGACTTTGCTCCTAGGCCTATGAAACTCAGCGTTTTCCAGCTAGAAGTTTCCCAGGTATTCCAAGCCAGTTCATTATTCCAATGTTTCTTGTACTGAGCACTGTCTGGTTTTCTTTCTGTAAGAAATGACACTACACTAGTTTAAGCTGCAAATGTTTCATAAAACCTTGATTTTCATGTCATACTTAGTGCTCTTTCCTCAGGAGACATGATTTAGTAACTTCTTAATGGTTTTAGATTTGATGTTTCTTTTTCTTAGTTACCGCAGTATTAATAAATGGTTTACAGTAATTTAGTTAGGCAGACTTTTTCCTATAAACATTGCTCAGTGAACTTCATAGTTTCTCAGCACATGAAAAAATACTGAAAAAGATTTGGTTTCAATGTCTCCTTTTGACTGGTTTAAACCTAGTTTATGACTTCCTATATGTGCAATTATACTGCAGAAATAGTAAGAGAAGGAAGACAGATGGCAATCTTTCATTTAGCAGTGAAAATTTTGTATTGATTCAATTTGCTCTCAGTCAATCAATCAATCAGTCAATCAATTCCATTAGCCTACTTTTTAATACTTCACACAATATAATCAATTGTTGTGATACTGCATAGCATATTGATGTATTATTTTTTTCATTCCTATATATTATACTGTGTCATCATATATGTCCTTACTACAGTTTCAGGGTTTTTTCTTCAATACTTGACCTAACTTTGAAAAAATGTAAGAGCTTAACTGTCTTCATTTTTTTCACATACTGAAAGTTTTTAACCAATATTTTAACTTGTTAAACCTTATTATAGCTTTCTTTCCTCATCAGAACCCTTAATTTAGCAAGGTGTGACTTTCATAACCTGTTTACTTCTACTTGCAGATAGCCTTGCCAGAAAGAGCAAAAATATGTTTTATAATAAAGTCCCAGAAATTCAGCCAAAATCCTCAGATTTTGACCATTGACAAAAGTCACAAAATAAAGCTTTTTACTGAACAGTCGTGGAAGAAAAAGGGAGAAGAACATTTCTCATTGTTAATCTGAAGACAAAAAATATCAAACACAAAGAAAGAAAAGGTGGTTTTCTGTGAGAGAAACAGAACATAGTGAGCTAAATAATGTTTGAACTAATAAACCAGTTTACATAGGAATCCAAAGTAAAATATTAAAACAAAATCTGAGTAGGGATGCATTTATAAACAATTTTATTTTGTTTTGCAGTGCCTTCTATAAAGAAAATGGAAGTCGAAATACAGGGTTTCCTCAATACATTTTTGAGCATAAACTTCCATTCAGTCTGAACTCTTAAGTATTTTCAGCTTGCCATCTAAGTGGCTGATAAATGTTTCTTCTCAATGTCCTTCCTGCTTTTTTTAGTGACTTTTATTTTATGTTCCAAATAATGAAATAGCACATTAAATATAGGGAAAAGAAAGTTCAAACTTCTTACATCACAATTTCTTTTGCATGAGATACAGTTCCCCTGTGAGTTAAGACCAAATACATACTAAATAAATGAAAGACCTTATTTCCTCAGTTAAAATTGCAAGGTAGCCATTAATGGTACTCCAGAATTGTCACTGTAAATAAATGAGTTTCTTTTCTCATTTACCATTCTTTCCATGTCTTTATAGATGTCATAGCAATTATCAGGGTCTCATATGTAAATAATACAAGTTCTCGTTTTTCCCTGTTTTTGGAACCCTGTTTTTGGAACACTATATAAATCTATAGTGGTTTTTTGGCCTTAAAATAATCACGTTCTTGTGTTCAAAACATACCTAGTTACAAAATGAGATGTTAGGGATTACCCTTTCTAAGATGAATTTCTATGTGTTAAAAAGTGATCCTTGTTGCCCCTTGACGTTTTGCTGCCCATCCCAGAGAACCACACCAGGTTTGTTTTACTTATCCTGCCAATGTCTCTCACTTCAAGTTACAGTTCTTCTCTAGTAGATGAAAATATTAAGCTTCCATAATTAGCTTCATTGTGCTCTTCAGCTGAAAAGTGTTTCTCCAAGACAAGACTGCATAGAGTAAATGAACTTGACTACAACCTAGATTAGAGTCAGAATCCTTTACACTTTTCTTTGCTGAGACTCAAAGCAATTCCTTCCAGGTATGAGGGTAGGCTGATATCTCATGGTGTTATTTTCCTTCTCCAAATTGCTATCAGGAAGAGAGCTTTGAAGACCTTCTAATACAGTGAACAATTTAGCATGTTCTCTTTTTTTTTAGAGAAGAAGAAATATTATTAATATATGAAAAAAACCCAAATACATAAATTGGTTTTAATATGAGCATTCACTAAATACGTTGTCTGTAATGTGGCCCATTTGGGTTGCCCTAAAATCTCTGTAGACCTGCCTTGAGGAATACAGGTAAATTTTGTATATGTGGTTTTTCTAACTAATTTTCCTTTAGTATTTCTTCCATATTACCATTAAACTGTGTTGCATTTGTTAGCTTGGTTATTGAAAAGAATGTGGAATTGTACTCTGTACTTTCCATCTCATAAGCATTTCATTAGGGTTGTAATGAGTAACAGCTTGAGTGCTGTAAGAAGCTTTTTCTTATATTATGACCCTTGACACACACAAAACCACATTGTCTTGAATCCGTCTTTAATCAGAGGACAGGCCTCCTGTTCAAGTCATTCAGTAAATAATTGTATGTGATCAGCAGCCAGGTTAGCCTGAAGCCAGTGCATTAGACAGATGCTCTTAAATGTCTAGCCCTCATCAGAGAAATAATTTCTCTAGAGGCTGCCGCTCACACACAAGCCCCAAACCAGCCCAAACTGATTTTACTAAACTGAGAAACTGAAGCTGTGAGATGCCGTTTCTGCTTCTAGGAGGGAAAGACTAAACCTGGTTTCCTTAAATCCTTCATGACCCACACACTGAGTGACTAAATTTCCATTTGGAACCCAGCCGCCACTTCATTCTATTTACTTTCCTGCAGCACCCAACCCTTTAAGTACCTACCAGAAGGCACTTACCTCACTGGCCCAAAAGTGTCCTGGAAACCAACTTTCAAGCACTACCCAGGAGCAAGATGTAACCTAAACTTTTTCAGTGCAGGTCAGGTAAGGTCCCGAAAACGTATGCTAAAGTAATTACAGCAGAGACACCATGAGAAGAGTCCAAGTCTTGAGCTGCTGGAGTATGCACAAGCAAAAAGACTGTTTGAAATCAACAATTTCCTTCACTAGGAGAGTGTCACATCCACATTCCAAGGATCAAAGATTGGAATCCCACTTGTGTGCTCTCCTTTGTAAAAAAGTCACAAATCATTTTTGATTGCTTTTCTGCTGGTCTCTTGGCTGGCCATGTGCTAGTACATGCACTGTACTAGGAGTCTCTTCAGAGGTCAGTTTTAGCTTTTGAGGCTACAGAGGACCTGGTGTCCCACATCTAAAGTGAATGTGTCATTCGTTGTGCAAATGTTATGGAGAGGGAACGTTGCTGCTTTCTCTTCTTTCTAAAGAAACCAGCCCTGATTTATTCGTTTCTGACCCTTAGTTAAAGATTTAAACCTTGATTTAAGGTAGAACATTTTTACTGTATACCATGTAAAAATTACATTTTTACTGTATATGTTGTCATTTAGAGACCTTTGGAAATGGCTATTCATCTTTACTGATTGTACAGAAAATTTAGGCAGCAGAATTTTTTATGCATTGAAAGCAAGAACATCTGTAATCTAGGCATAGATTTAGTTGACTTGTTGGGAATAAGTCTGGGAATGTGTGAAACCATGCTTTCTTATTACTAGTGCACTAATTTATATTCCTATTTAATATGTTAGTGTTTTCTAAAATGGTTTGCACTGTTATATTCATATACTGCACTTCAGCTAGGAGGTAATTGCTGAGGGGCAGTGAGGAATTTTTTTTCTGAAAATGTCTCTCCTCTGTAACTCTGAGCTCTCCCAGTTCATGTGAAGGCAAAGCCAACATACTGGTTTAAATGAATGCATTTGTTTTCATCCTGATGTGGACTAGAAATACTTATGTAGTCATTTACCTCCTCCAGATTGACAGATTCTCACAGCAGAGAGGCACCAGGTCCTCAGTCTCTCAGCTGTCATGACTGTAGGTGTGCTTTTTATATGTTTCTCCAGGTAAGTCAAACAAGGTTAACCTAGAAGTTTTTTGCTGTAGTTAATTTTGCCCTGACACAGCTGGCAGCATTTGAAGGTACAGGTTTCAAAATTTCTACTTGGGTAGAATCCAGGCTGGATGTATGGATTGAGACTAGTCCTGCAGAGAAGGACTTGGAGGTATTAGGGAACAAAAAATTGAACAGGAACTGGCAGTATGCACTCACAGCCCAGAAAGCCAACTGCGTATTGCACAGCATTGAAAGAAGCATAGCCAGCAGGTTGAGGGAGGTGATTCTCCCCCTCTACTCTGCTCTGGTGAAACCCCACCCGAAGTATTGCATCCAGCTCTGGGGTCCTCAGCACAAGTAATGTATGAATGTCTTGAAGTGGGTCCAGAGAAGGGCCACAAAGATTATCAGAGGGATAGAGCACTTATCCTATGATGACAGATGGAGAGAGTTGGGGTTGTTCAACCTGGAGAAGAGAAGGCTTCGAGAACAACTGATTGAATCATTTCAATATATAAAGGGGGCTTATAAGAAAGACAAAGACTTTTTCCCAGGGCCTTTAGTGACAGGACAAGGGGTAACAGTTTTAAACTGAAAGTGGATAGGTTTAGACTAGATATTAGGAAGAAATTATTTACTATAAGGATTGTGAGACACTGGAAGAGATTCTCCAGACAAGTTGTGGATGCCTCATCTCCCCCATCCCTGGAAGTGTTCAAGGCCAGGCGGGATAGAGCTTTGAGCAACCTAGTCTAAAGGAACGTGTTCCTGCCCATGGCCGGAACATGCCCATGATCTTTAGGGTCCCTTCCAACCCAAACCATTCTATGGTCCTATGATTCTTCAATTCTGACCTGATATACAGGAACACCTAAAGTCAGGATATGGGGTCTTAAAAGCCACCTGACAATCTCAATAGTTCAGTTTATAAAGGGCTCCACACCCTCCATGTTTTCTTGCTATCAGCAGCGAAGCTACTTATTTTATTTTTAGGTGAGTTAGCACTAAGACATAACTATAGCCTCTACTATTGCCTTGTAGCTCATATACTCAGAGAGAACCTGTGGTAATACATGGTGATTTCAGGTGACCATTTTCTGTTTTGCTTTTGTTGATGTATCACAATATGAACAACTCTGCAGTAAAGGCCACGCAAATCTCTTTGAGCAGATTACTAGTGACTGGATATGGATGTGCTTTTTCTTTTATAGTAATAAATTGCTCAATGCTCACTATCATTCCCTAGTTAATTATCTAGTGGAACAGGTATTTCTTGAAACCATATTTTGTGTTAGTTCCACTGAACTCTTTCAGCTGTACTCTTTCAAATTAGAGTTTCCTCATAACACTATTTCCTGTACCCTATGTAGTTTCATGAAAATTCTGCTGAGTTCCATATTGTTCTAGGATAATAATTGTTACCTGTACACTTTTCTAAAGAAACTTTTTAAATATAAGTGTTACTATTTGCATTCCACTGCTATATTTAGTAGGAAGTGAAACAATTAAGTGTAATTTACTGACTAGGTATTCTGCACAGATTAATTCACAGAGTTAGAACAGAAGTTTGTAATCCAGTGAAAAGTCAGTGCCACTTATTTCAAAAGAACAACATTTATTGGGTTACCTTTATTTGCTGGGAAACCCAGATGACATTTAAAAATTCCATTACTATGTTTTTGAACTACATAAGAGCACCATGCATTTGATAAGTATTATTAATTGCAATGCACTTATAGAATTTGTATTCTGCCCATTTTGCAAAATCATAACCTAATCTAGTGTTATTCAGATTCTCTTCATACAACTTTTATGATGGTATGCAAGTCAAGGTTAATGTGCAGCAGGAAGATACTGCTCTGTCTTTCCACATTAGCATCCTCCTACGCTACCACGCACATTTTCAACAGGAAAGTAAAACTGATTTCAGAGAAAGTGCACCTAATACATTTGAACTAGCTATGGAAATACGTATATAAGCATACTTAATATTGGAGACTTTTTAATAGTTAGAAGCACTCATGTTTTTATTTTGGAGAAGTAAAGATAATTTCTTTACTACTGTTTAGTAGTATTTAACAGTTTGCATAGCCTTAAAATTATTTATTAGACATAAAAATAGATAGTGCAGGTAGAAAATATAGACTGATTGTCAAAGTTACTATAAATCAACATATCCACATTTTATTATACATGTGCTACTTAGGAAAGCACTTAATTGAAAAAAATGACAGTAAGAACTAATGGCTTAAAATATGGGTTACTGTTTTAAAAAAATAGAATTGCTTCTGGACATTTTTATTCAGAAATCTTTCTGTTTTATTAAAAGAAACTAGAACATTGCATTTTGAGCCAGTTTTCAGAAATAATTCTCACACACATCTCTGCATTTGTAACTGTAGTGAAAAAAATAAACACTGCTGCTCCACCTCTTCTAAAAACAGGCAACACTTTCCACACAGTCAACATATTTAAAAACAGATTATATTTTGGAACTTCCACCACATATTATAAAAAACTTTATTTGGAGCTTATAGTATTCTTTTTGTGTCTTTTGCAGTGCCTTTACTGTTATTTATCTTCTTTCATTTAAAAATAGGATATTTAAATTTCAGACTCTGATGGAAAGTGTACATTTCATGAGAAGTGTTGTTCCTTTAAAAGAAATTTTCTTTTCCTACACTATCTTTTTTTTTTTTCTAATGGAAAAATAGTAATTTTTTTACATTGTTGCAATAATTCTGTACAAAACTGATACTCACACTCTAAAAATAAATATTCAATAAAAAGGAGATAAGTAAAATAATGATTGTCTTTATTAATGAAACTTTGTCTTTTTTAATGAAACTGAAAAGTTTATTTCTGACCTGTTACATAGATTTGTTGGCCAAATGCTCATTGACAAAGCAGTTGATTTTTTTTTTCTTTTCAAAAGTTTAAATATTTTTGATATTAAAAGATTAATTGGTACTCACTTCTGGAGACCTTTCTATGGTTGTCTCCCATGTTGTGTGGGTCTTGGGCCTATGGAAAGTGTTGCTTATTTTATTAACTCTCTTGACTTGGTTTTAATTAGATCGGATTTCTCTTTGAACACTGTCCTGTGGTAAATTATTAGAGTAACAAGCCAGTCTCAATAGCTGATAGATCTGCAGATAGATCTGCAGCCTCATAGTGTAAGGGTATGTAAGGGCAATCTAATACCTGGTTTGTGAGGCAAGCTTGTTAATGGACTGCTCAATATAAAGAACCATGAGGCATAATAAATTAAGCAGCCAGATACAGAAACTAAGTACCAGGAGATAACAGAGACATTGGAAAAGACCAGAGCTCTCAGATCACTGCCTGTTAGGCCTTTGAATGGGTCACTCAAAGCCTTGAGGAGGTTCAACTACAAGTTTTTAACTGGTAAAAAAGGGGAAGGATGAATAAAATTAATCTCATGGAAAAAGGCAGACTTGTCCTGGGACATTTGAAAGCATTAGATTCAAGAAAACTTTACTATGGGATGTTTAGGGGAAAGGCCAAAGGCAAGGTAAAGGAGAAGGCAAGTTAGACTGAGGACAATGAATATGGGAGAAGAGGGGATAAAAGTATTCAGGTGCATGTAAACAAACTACTCTTTTCTGGCCAAGACCTGAGCCTGATCACCACAGTGTCTTCTTATTAAACTCTATTCCTAACTTTTTTCCTGTGCATGATAATAGAAAACTTCAAACCAGAGTAGATGTTAAGTAGGCTAAGAGGTCTGGGATATTATCATAACTTTAGCAAATGAGCAGTGAAGCACACAATATGACTCTTCAGTCAGAAATCACTATCTCTTCAAAATAATTTTATAATTATTTGTTGGAAGGCAGAGTCTCAAAATGGTTTTTAAAGTTTTGCATTTGTGCCTTAATTCTCTACTTCACTGAAGTCCCATTTACCCCATTTCATTATCTATAAGAGAATCAGAGCTCACGTCTAGAACTGTTTCACAAGACCATCAAATCCTTTTCTGCTCCTTCTCATTCCCTTCCTTTTGTAATATTGTAGTCCATGTATGATGCTGTTTGTGAAAAATGTAAAATGAAGT